ATTGAACAGGGATTGGGGAACAGGGATTGGGGAAACAGGGATTGAGGGAACAAGGATCAGGGAAACGGATTGAGGGATCAGGGAAACAAGGATCAGGGAAACAGGGATTGGGGAACAGGGATTGGGGGAACAGGGACTGGGGAACAGGGATTGAGGGAATGGGGATCAGGGATCGAGGGAATAGGGATCGGGGAAACAGGGATTGAACAGGGATTGAGGAAACAGGGATTGGGGAACAGGGATTGGGGGAACAGGGATCAGGGAAACAGGGATTGGGGAACAGGGATTGAACAGGGATTGGGGAAACAAGAATTGAACAGGGATTGGGAGAACAGGGATCAGGGAACAGGGATTTGGGAACAGGGATTGGGGGAACAAGGATTGGGGGAACAGGGATTGGGGGAAAACATAGATCAGGGAAACGGACTGAGGGAACAGGGATCAGGGAAACAGGGATTGGGGGAACAGGGATCAGGGAAACAAGGATCAGGGAAACAGGGATTGGGGAACAGGGATTGGAAGAACAGGGATTGGGGGACAGGGATTGGGGAACAGGGATTGGAAGATGAGGGATTGGGGGAAAAGGGATTGGGAGAACAGGGATTGGGGGACAGGGATTGGGGAACAGGGATCAGGGATCAGGGAAACAGGGATTGGGGGGAAATGGGGATCAGGAAGAAACAGGGATTGGGGAAACAGGGATTGGGGAAACAGGGATTGGGAAACAGGGATTGGGAAACAGGGATCAGGGGAACAGGGATCAGGGGGAAACAGGGATCAGGGGGAACAGGGATCAGGGGGAACAGGGATCCAAGGACACTCCCAGCGTGTGGGAAGCTCGTGGACGAATCCACCGCGGTGCAGCTGCCACGGGAACGGGACACTGGGACCCCAGAGAGGGAATCATGGAATATCCCAGTGGGAAGGGACCCTCAGGGATCCGAGCCCAACCTCAGGAGCCCCAAAATCCCAGCACTGTCCAGAGAGCCCTTCCCAAACGCTCCCCGGAGTTTGTGGGGTCGGGGCTGTGGGCGCTTCCCTGGGAATGCCGGGATCCCGGGAATACTCCCGTGCAGGGACATTGGGAATGCCGGGAATGCTGGGAATGCCGGGATCCCGGGAATACTCCCGTGCAGGGACATTGGGACACTGGGAATGCCGGGATCCCGGGAATACTCCCGTGCAGGGACATTGGGACACTGGGAATGCTGGGATCCCGGGAATACTCCTGTGCAGGGACATTGGGACACTGGGAATGCCGGGATCCCGGGAATACTCCTGTGCAGGGACATTGGGACACTGGGAATGCTGGGATCCCGGGAATACTCCTGTGCAGGGACATTGGGACACTGGGAATGCTGGGATCCCGGGAATACTCCCGTGCAGGGACATTGGGACATTGGGAATGCTGGGAATGCCGGGATCCCGGGAATACTCCTGTGCAGGGACATTGGGAATGCCGGGAATGCCGGGATCCCGGGAATACTCCTGTGCAGGGACATTGGGAATGCCGAGATCCCGGGAATACTCCTGTGCAGGGACATTGGGACACTGGGAATGCTGGGATCCCGGGAATACTCCCGTGCAGGGACATTGGGACACTGGGAATGCTGGGATCCCGGGAATACTCCTGTGCAGGGACATTGGGACACTGGGAATGCTGGGATCCCGGGAATACTCCCGTGCAGGGACATTGGGACACTGGGAATGCTGGGATCCCGGGAATACTCCCGTGCAGGGACATTGGGACACTGGGAATGCTGGGAATGCTGGGATCCCGGGAATACTCCCGTGCAGGGACATTGGGACACTGGGAATGCCGGGATCCCGGGAATACTCCCGTGCAGGGACATTGGGACACTGGGAATGCCGGGATCCCGGGAATACTCCTGTGCAGGGACATTGGGAATGCCGGGAATGCTGGGATCCCGGGAATACTCCCGTGCAGGGACATTGGGAATGCTGGGAATGCCGGGATCCCGGGAATACTCCTGCCCAGCAGGGTGCTGTCCATGTCCCATGGAACACTGGGAATGCTGGGATCCCGGGAATACTCCTTCCCAGCAGGGCACTGTTGGTGCCCCCTGGGACACTGGGAATGCCGGGAATGCCGGGATCCCGGGAATACTCCTGCCCAGCAGGGCGTTGTCTGTGCCCCCTGGGACACTGGGAATGCCGGGAATGCCAGGATCCCGGGAATACTCCCATGCAGCAGGGCACTGTCCATGCCCCCTGGGACACTGGGAACGTTGGGAATGCCGGGAATGCCGGGATCCCGGGAATACTCACGTCCAGCAGGGCGCTGTCCATGCTGAAGCCGTGCGTGGTCAGCATGGTCTGCAGGTTGTCCAGGTTGGAGTCGATGGTGTCCAGGTGGTCGTTGAGTTCATTCCTGGCGGGAATGCAGAGCGGGAGCAGGGAATCAGCGCTGAGGGGGGCTCTTCCCATGCCTGGCAGGTTCATCCACCCCAAGGCGCTGAATCCCTGACATCCCAACGGGAGCAGGGCCGGGATCCCGGGATCTGTGCCCAGCATTCCAACGGGAGCAGGGCTGGGATCCCTGGATCTGTCCCACTGACATCCCAAAGGGATTGGGGGCTGGGATCCCTGGATCTGCCCCAACATCCCAAGGGATTGGGGGCTGGGATCCCTGGATCTGCCCACTGACATCCCAAGGGATTGGGGATTGGGGGCTGGGATCCCTGGATCTACCCACTGACATCCCAAGGGATTGGGGATTGGGGGCTGGGATCCCTGGATCTGCCCCAACATCCCAATGGGAGCAGGGTTGGGATCCCTGGATCTGCCCCAACATCCCAAGGGATTGGAGGCTGGGATCCCTGGATCTGCCCCAACATCCCAAGGGATTGGGGGCTGGGATCTCTGGATCTGCCCCAACATCCCAAGGGATTGGAGGCTGGGATCCCTGGATCTACCCACTGACATCCCAAGGGATTGGAGGTTGGGATCCCTGGATCTGCCCCAACATCCCAATGGGATTGGGGGCTGGGATCCCTGGATCTGCCCCAACATCCCAAGGGATTGGGGGCTGGGATCCCTGGATCTGCCCCAACATCCCAAGGGATTGGGGGTTGGGATCCCTGGATCTGCCCAATGACATCCCAAGGGATTGGAGGTTGGGATCCCTGGATCTGCCCCAACATCCCAATGGGATTGCGGGGTTGGGATCCCTGGATCTGCCCAATGACATTACAGGGGATTGAAGGTTGGGATCCCTGGATCTGCCTGCTCACATCCCAAGGGATTGGAGTTTGGGATCCCTGGATCTGCCCACTGACATCCCAAGGGATTGGAGGCTGGGATCCCTGGATCTGCCCCAACATCCCAAGGGATTGGGGGCTGGGATCCCTGGATCTGCCTGCTGACATCCCAAGGGATTGGAGGTTGGGATCCCTGGATCTACCCACTGACATCCCAAGGGATTGGAGGTTGGGATCCCTGGATCTGCCTGCTGACATCCCAAGGGATTGGAGGTTGGGATCCCTGGATCTGCCTGCTGACATCCCAAGGGATTGGAGGTTGGGATCCCTGGATCTACCCACTGACATCCCAAGGGGATTGAAGGTTGGGATCCCTGGATCTGCCCCAACATCCCAATGGGATTGGAGGTTGGGATCCCTGGATCTGCCCCAACATCCCAAGGGATTGGGGGCTGGGATCCCTGGATCTGCCCATTGACATCCCAATGGGATTGGAGGCTGGGATCCCTGGATCTGCCCCAACATCCCAAGGGATTGGAGGTTGGGATCCCTGGATCTGCCCACTGACATCCCAATGGGATTGGGGGTTGGGATCCCTGGATCTGCCCAAACATCCCAATGGGATTGGAGGCTGGGATCCTTGGATCTGCCCCAACATCCCAAGGGATTGGAGGTTGGGATCCCTGGATCTGCCTGCTGACATCCCAAGGGATTGGAGGCTGGGATCCCTGGATCTGCCCACTGACATCCCAAGGGATTGGAGGCTGGGATCCCTGGATCTGCCTGCTGACATCCCAATGGGATTGGAGTTTGGGATCCCTGGATCTGCCCCAACATCCCAATGGGATTGGGGGCTGGGATCCCTGGATCTGCCCCAACATCCCAAGGGATTGGGGGTTCGGATCCCTGGATCTGCCCACTGAAATCCCAATGGGATTGGAGGCTGGGATCCCTGGATCTGCCTGCTGACATCCCAAGGGATTGGAGTTTGGGATCCCTGGATCTGCCCACTGACATCCCAAGGGATTGGAGGCTGGGATCCCTGGATCTGCCCCAACATCCCAAGGGATTGGAGGCTGGGATCCCTGGATCTACCCATTGACATCCCAATGGGATTGGAGGCTGGGATCCCTGGATCTGCCCCAACATCCCAATGGGAGCAGGGCTGGGGTCCTTGAATCTGTCCCCCCAAATCCCATGGGAAGCAGGGATGGGGTCCCTGGATTAGCCCCTGGACATCCTGATGGGAGCAGGGCTGGGATCCCTGGATCTGCCGCCAATATCCCAAGGGAAGCAGGGTTAGGATCCCTGGATCTGCTCCCCGATATCCCAAGGGAAGCAGGGCCCAGAGTCCCCAGCTCCCCCTGGGAATTCCAGACCCTTTCCCAGCCCAAATCCCGTCCCCTGCCAGGTGTGGATCCCCGGCAAAAGGAAGGGCACAAAACTTGCTTTGCTTTGCTGGGAAATTCCAGGGGGATCAGAAATCCCTTCCCAGGGGGCTGGAGGTGGGAAAACACCGCCCAGGAGGAGATGGAGCTACTGGGAATGATGGGGAGAACTGGAGCTGCTGCTGGGGAACCGAACATTCCCACTGGATCCCACCTGGGACCAGAGGGGGTGGCAGAAAGAGCTGAACATGGACAGGCCCCCAGCATGGAATTCTGGAATGGTCTGGGTGGGAAAGGTCCTTAAATCCCATCCTGCCACGGGCAGGGACAGCTCCCACCATCCCAGGGGGATCCAACCCGGCCTGGGACACTCCAGGGATCCAGGGGCAGCCACAGCTTCCCTGGGAATTCCAGCCCAGCCCCTCCCCACCCTCCCAGCCAGGAATCCCTTCCCAATCTCCCCCCTAACCCTGGGCAGCCATTCCCTGTGTGCTGTCCCTCCAGCCCTCATCCCAAATCCCTCTCCAGCTCCCGGGGCCGTGAGGAGTGTCCTGGCTGGATACACCCCGGTAGCACTGGAATTGCAGTCCCCACTCCTGGCTGCTCCGTGATTCCATGGAATTCCTGCTCTGGCATTCCAGCCCCGCTGCTGGAGGTGCAGAATCCCCCACCCATCACCCCCCCACCCATCCAGGAGCCCCCCCCTGAGGAGGCTGACGGGAAGGACGTGGTCCCACGGCTGGAATTGGGCGGGAAATGCCAATTCCGTGGGAAACTCGCTCCCGTTTTAGCTTGGAATTGGCTGGGACAGGGACGGGACAGCCCCGGGAAGAGCTGGGATGAGCTCCTGGAGTGGGTTCATGGAATTGGGTGCCTGCAGCAGCCCCAACCCCTCCCACAGCTACACCCTGGAATGGGATTGCTGTGGGGTTGTGCTGGGAATGCGACCACCAATCCCTGAAGGAAGAGCTGCTGATCCTGCAGTGATCCCACAGCGATCCCTCAGTGATCCCACAGTGCAGTGATCCCACAGAGATCCCGCAGTGATCCCGCAGTGATCCCTCAGTGATCCCACAGTGATCCCTCAGTGATCCCACAGTGATCCCACAGCAATCCCACAGCAATCCCACAGTGATCCCGCAGTGATCCCTCAGCGCTCCGGGCGGGAATGGCGGTGGTTCCCGGCACTCACTTGTCGAGGCAGGCGACGCTGAGGCACTTGTCGTGGGCGGGGGGCGCGGCGGGGCCGTCGGCGGGCGCGGGGGGGTCGCTGTCCCGCAGGATGGCGTCGATGAAGGTGGACGGCGACAGCGGCGTCTCGGCCGCGCCCTCTCGCGCCCCGCGCCCGCGCGCCCCGCACCCGGCTCCTCCACCCGCGGGCTCTGCTCGGGGCTGGCAGGCTCCTCCTTGATCCGCACCGGGGGGCTGCTCCTGACGGACACACACAGGGAATGAGCCACGGGAACGGTGGGAATGGTATCGGGGATAGCGGGAATGATGCTCGGGGATAGTGGGAATGGCATCGGGGATAGCGGGAATGGCATCAGGGATAGTGGGAATGGCATCGGGGACAGTGGGAATGAGTCTTGGGGACAGCGGGAATGGCATCGGGGATGGTGGGAATGGCATCGGGGACAGTGGGAATGGCATTGGGGATAGCGGGAATGGCATTGGGGACAGTGGGAATGAGTCTTGGGGACAGTGGGAATGACATCAGGGACAGCGAGAATAGCATCGGGATAGCGAGAATAGCATCGGGAGACAGCGGGAATGATTCTCAGGGATAGTGAGAATGGCATCGGGACGCTAGCGGGAATGGCATCGAGATAGCGGGAATGGCATCGGGGATAGTGGGAATGGCATCGGGGATAGCGGGAATGAGCCTTGGGGACAGTGGGAATGAGTCTTGGGGACAGTGGGAATGACATCAGGGACAGTGGGAATGGCATCGATGAAGCAGAGAATAGCATCGAGATAGCGGGAATGGCATCAGGGACAGCGGGAATGGCATCGGGGATAGCGGGAATGAGCCTTGGGGAAAGCGGGAATGGCATTGGGGATAGTGGGAATGGCATCGGGGATAGCGGGAATGGCATCAGGGATAGTGGGAATGGCATCAGAGATAGTGGGAATGGCATCGGGGATAGCGGGAATGGCATCGGGGATAGTGGGAATGGCATCGGGGATAGCGGGAATGGCATCGGGGATAGTGGGAATGGCATCGGGGATAGTGGGAATGGCATCGGGGATAGCAGGAATGAGCCTTGGGGAAAGTGGGAATGGCATCGGGGATAGTGGGAATGGCATCGGGGATAGCAGGAATGAGCCTTGGGGATAGTGGGAATGGCATCGGGATAGCGGGAATGGCATCAGGATAGCGAGAATGGCATCAGGGACAGCGGAATAGCATCGAGATAGCGGGAATGAGCCTTAGGGGAAAGCGGAATGGCATTAGGGATAGTGGGAATAGCATCGGGATAGCGGAATGGCATCGGGATAGCGAGAATGGCATCAGGAGATAGCGTGAATAGCATCGAGATAGCAGGAATGGCATCAGAGACAACGGGAATAGCATCAGGATAGCGGGAATGGCATCGGGGATAGCGGGAATGGCATCGGGGACAACGGGAATGGCATCAGGGATAGCGGGAATGGCATCGGGGATAGCGGGAATGGCATCGGGGACAACGGGAATGGCATCAGGGATAGCGGGAATGGCATCAGGGACAGTGGGAATGGCATCAGGGATAGTGGGAATGGCATCGGGGATAGCGGGAATGGCATCGGGGATAGTGGGAATGGCATCGGGGATAGTGGGAATGACACTGGGAATGCTCCTCAGGGACAGCGGGAATGAGCCTTGGGGACACCCAGAATGAGCCTCGGGGACAGCGGGAATGGCATCAGGGACAGCAGGAATGGCGGTCAGGGATAGCAGGAATGGCATCGGGGACAGCGGGAATGGCATTGGGGATAGTGGGAATGGCATCAGGGATAGTGGGAATGGCATCAGGGATAGTGGGAATGGCATTGGGGATAGTGGGAATGGCATCAGGGATAGTGGGAATGGCATCAGGGACAGTGGGAATGGCATCAGGGATAGCGGGAATGGCATCAGGGAGAGCGGGAATGGCATCGGGGAGAGCGGGAATGGCATCGGGGACAGTGGGAATGGCATCAGGGATAGTGGGAATGGCATCGGGGACAGCGGGAATGGCATCAGGAACAGCGGGAATGAGCCTCAGGGATAGCAGGAATGATCCTCGGGGATAGCGGGAATGGCATCAGGGACAGCGGGAATGGCATCAGGGACAGCGGGAATGGCATCAGGGATAGTGGGAATGGCATCGGGGATAGCGGGAATGGCATTGGGATAGCGGGAATGGCATCAGGGACAGCGGGAATGGCATCGGGGACAGCGGGAATGGCATTGGGGATAGCGGGAATGATCCTTGGGGATAGCGGGGAATGGCATCGGGGATGGTGGGAATGGCATCGGGGATAGTGGGAATGAGTCTTGGGGACAGTGGGAATGGCATTGGGGACAGTGGGAATGGCATCGGGGATGGCGGGAATGGCATTGGGGATGGCGGGAATGGCATCAGGGACGGCGGGAATGGCATCGGGGACGGCGGGAATGGCATCAGGGACAGCGGGAATGGCATCGGGGACAGCGGGAATGGCATCGAGGATAGCGGGAATGGCATCGGGGATAGTGAGAATGGCATCAGGGATAGTGGGAATGGCATCGGGGATAGTGAGAATGGCATCAGGGATAGTGGGAATGGCATCGGGGATAGTGAGAATGGCATCAGGGATAGTGGGAATGGCATCGGGGATAGTGGGAATGGCATCAGGGACAGCGGGAATGGCATCGGGGATAGTGAGAATGGCATCAGGGATAGTGGGAATGGCATCGGGGATAGTGAGAATGGCATCAGGGATAGCGGGAATGGCATCAGGGATAGTGGGAATGGCATCGGGGATAGTGGGAATGGCATCGGGGATAGCGGGAATGGCATCAGGGATAGCGGGAATGGCATCGGGGATAGTGAGAATGGCATCAGGGATAGCGGGAATGGCATCGGGGATAGAGGGAATGGCACCAGGGATAGTGGGAATGGCATCGGGGATAGCGGGAATGGCATCGGGGATAGCGGGAATGGCATCGGGGACAGCGGGAATGGCATCGGGGATAGTGGGAATGGCATCGGGGACAGCGGGAATGGCATCGGGGATAGTGGGAATGGCATCGGGGACAGCGGGAATGGCATCGGGATAGTGGGAATGGCATCGGGGATAGCGGGAATGGCATCGGGGATAGCGGGAATGATCCTCGGGGATAGTGGGAATGATTCTTGGGGATAGCGGGAATGGCATCGGGGACAGCGGGAATGGCATCAGGGATAGTGGGAATGGCATTGGGGATAGCGGGAATGGCATCGGGGATAGCGGGAATGATCCTCGGGGATAGTGGGAATGAGTCTTGGGGACGGCGGGAATGGCATCGGGGACAGCGGGAATGGCATCAGGGATAGTGGGAATGGCATTGGGGATAGCGGGAATGGCATCGGGGACAGCGGGAATGATCCTCGGGGATAGTGGGAATGATCCTTAGGATAGTGGGAATGGCATCGGGGATAGCGGGAATGGCATCAGGGACAGCGGGAATGATCCTTAGGGATAGTGGGAATGGCATCGGGGATGGCGGGAATGGCATCGGGGATAGCGGGAATGGCATCGGGATAGCGGAATGGCATCGAGGATGGCAGGAATGGCATCGAGGGACAGCGGGAATGGCATCAGGGATAGCAGGAATGGCATCGGGGATAGCGGGAATGGCATCGAGATAGAGGAATAGCATCGGGGATAGCGGGAATGGCATCGGGGATAGAGGGAATGGCATCGGGGATAGCGGGAATGGCATCGGGGATAGCAGGAATGGCATCGGGGATAGCGGGAATGGCATCGGGGATAGTGGGAATGGCATCAGGGATAGTGGGAATGGCATCAGGGATAGCGGGAATGGCATTGGGGATAGCGGGAATGGCATCAGGGACAGTGGGAATGGCATCAGGAACAGCAGGAATGAGCCTCGGGGATAGTGGGAATGGCATCAGGGACAGTGGGAATGGCATCGGGGATAGCGGGAATGATCCTCAGGGATAGTGGGAATGGCATCAGGGACAGTGGGAATGGCATCGGGGATAGCGGGAATGATCCTCAGGGATAGTGGGAATCCTCAGGGACACTGGGAGTGCTCCTGAAGGGCAATGGGAATCCTCAGGGACAATGGGAATCCTCAGGGGTAATGGGAATGCTCCTTGGGGACACCCGGAATGCTCCTTGGGGGCAATGGGAATGCTCCTCAGGGACAATGGGAATTCTCAGGGACACCAGGAATGCTCCTCAGGGACACTGGGAATCCTTAGGGACAATGGGAATGCTCCTCGGGGACACCCGGAATGCTCCTCAGGGACACTGGGAATGCTCAGGGACACTGGGAATTCTCAGGGACACTGGGAATCCTTAGGGACAATGGGAATCCTCAGGGGCAATGGGAATGCTCCTCAGGGACACCAGGAATCCTCAGGGACACTGGGAATCCTCAGGGACATCGGGAATGCTCCTCAGGAACAATGGGAATGCTCAGGGACACCCGGAATGATCCTCAGGGACACCGGGAATGCTCCTCAGGGACAATGGGAATCCTCAGGGACACCGGGAATGCTCAGGGACAATGGGAATCCTCAGGGACACCGGGAGTGCTCCTCAGGGACACCGGGAATGCTCCTCAGGGACAACGGGAATGCTCCTCAGGGACAATGGGAATCCTCAAGGACACCGGGAATGCTCCTCAGGGACAATGGGAATGCTCAGGGACACCCGGAATGATCCTCAGGGACACCGGGAATGCTCCTCAGGGACACTGGGAATCCTCAGGGACACCGGGAATGCTCCTCAGGGACAATGGGAATGCTCAGGGACACCGGGAATGCTCCTCAGGGACAATGGGAATGCTCAGGGACACCCGGAATGATCCTCAGGGACACCGGGAATGCTCAGGGACAATGGGAATCCTCAGGGACATCGGGAGTGCTCCTCAGGGACAATGGGAATGTGCCTTGGGGACACTGGGAATGCTCCTCAGGGACAATGGGAATGCTCCTCAGGGACACCAGGAATGCTCCTCAGGGACACTGGGAATCCTCAGGGACACTGGGAATGTGCCTTGGGGACAACAGGAATGCTCCTCGGGGACACCGGAACCACCGAACGGGAGGGAGGAGGG